GTTATCAGGCAAGGAGGTAGGCACCTTTTACCTGATGGTCATCTCCCTGGCTTTTTAATTATCTTTAGGCACTTTGTTGATACATTCGCCTTGATATTTGGCCAAAGTCATTAGTCTGTTTTTGTTTTGTTTTGTTTTGTTTTTATTTCTGTTTTTTTTGAGGTAAGATCTCACTATGTAGCACTGACTGGCCTGGAACTTGCTATGTAGACCAGGCTGGCCTTGAACTCACCTCCTTGAGGCAGAGGCCTGCCTCTGCCTCCTGAGTACTGGAATTAAAGGTATGTGCCACCACGGCTGCCCTTTCCTTTGTCTTTTTTAATGTGAAAACATCTGATTCCAACAATCAGAGATTCATGCCATTTTCAGGGCTGCTTCTTCACTGAGGCTGAGAACATCAAGTTCCTCATGTTGAAATTCTAAGATGAGCCGTGTTGTGAACTGCATTTTGTGTTCCTTCTGGGTTGCTGACTCAGATACAGGCCCACCAGGTTATTTTATGCCCCACGTATTATTTGAAGAGGCTCCACCTTTTACTTTCTTTATGAGACTATTACATCCCTCACCTTTAACCTGAACCTGAAAATATCATACCCAAGCAATAAATAATAATGGCATAAATTTTTTTCTTGACAAGTGAAAGCCTAAGGGAGATATGTATGGGGAAACAATCTTCTAGCTTTCTTGAGAAATAGAGGCAGAAAAAGAATGGCTTCTTGTGAAAAGCTTAGTCATGGTGCTGAGCATGTGGCTTGAGCATGTTCCCTAAGGACTGATGTGTCAGGAGCTTGATTCCCAGTGTGAGAGGTGGTGGGGCCTGTAGGAGGTGGGGCCTAGTGGGAGGTCCTTAGGTTATTAGGGGAATTAACCTTAGAAGGGATTTTTAAAGTGCATCTCATGGGCCAGGTGTGGTAGCTCATGTCTGTAACCTCAACTCTTGGGAGGCTGAGACAGGAGAATTACTGTAGGTTTGAGGCCATCCTGGGCTACATAGTGAGTTCCAGAATACATATATAATGAGACCTTGTTTTAAAACAACAAAACCAACAACAACCAAGAAAAGAAAAAAACAAACAAAAACTAAAGGAAAAAAAGAAAAAAAAAAAAAAGGACCTCTCATGGGACCTCTGAACTGTTGTTGTTAGAGTGAACCCAACCCCTGAATCTCTCACTCTTTGGCATAACTTCCTATTCAGTGATGTGATGGCTTATTCTGATGGGCACTCCTGCCACTGTGGTACCACCTTGACATTCATCTTTTGCTATGAGGTTGTTACCAAAGCCAAGCCATAATGGTGCTTTGCTTTGAAAGCCCAGAACTATGAGCTAAATAAATCTCATTTCTTGAGTCTAGAGAGATGGCTCAATAGTAAAGAGCATATACTGTTCTTGCAGTGGACCTGAGTTCAGTTCCCAGCATACACATTGGGTGGCTCTTAACCACCTGTAACTCCAGCTCCAGGGCATCCAACAATATTTTCTGGCTTCCAGGGGCATCTGCACTCATGTGCACATAACCACACATAGACACACAAACACACACACACACACACACAAACACACACACACACACACGTCTAATTAAAAAACAGACAAACCTCTTTTCTTTTAGAAGTTAGTCTGCCTCAGATAGTTCATTAAAGAAAATGTTCTAATACCCATCATTTCATTCACACAGGAACTGAGATACCATTCATGTTGCTCAAAATAAAGACAACGAGCTCTTGTTTAGTGTTTGGTGTCCTAGAAATTATTTGCTGAACTCTTGAAGAAATGGTTAAACACATGTATAAAAACAGGTGAATCTTGGGGCTGGAGAGATGACTCAACAGTTAAGAGCGCTGGCTGTTCTTGCAGAGGACCCAGGTTCAGTTTACAGCACCCACATGGTGGCTAAAACAATTCATAACTCTAGTGCCAGGGCTTCTGATGCCCTCTTCTGACCTCCACAGGCACTGCATGATGTGGGTGCACTTACATACATGCAGGCAATACATTCATACACATAAAATAAAAATAACTAGCTGGGTGTGGTGGTGCATGCCTTTAATCCCAGTGCTCAGGAGGCAGAGGCAGGAGGATCTCGTTGAGTTCAAGGCCAGCCTGATCTATATAGGAAGTTATAGGCCAGCTGGGGCTATAGGGAGATGCTGTCTCAAAAAGATAAAAAATAATACTTCCTGTCAGCATAAATTTATAAAACAAAGAAACAAGCAGGTAAGTCCCTTTTGAATGATTCATCTTTAATTACCTATTTGATTTCTTCTGCTGAGGTGTACACTAAAGGGTTAACCTTGCCTAAAGAAAGGATGAGATGATGGAGCTGGTCTTGGTGTATGGGGGGATGTCATAATTGGTGAAGCAGACTTTCTTTAAAAATGTTTACTTATTACGTTTATTTTATGTGTATGAATGTATTGCCTGCATGTATGTAAAGTGCACTGGTGTCATACAATGCCCAAGGATATCAGAAGAGGGCATTGGATCCCCTGGAACTGGAGTTACGGATGATTGTTAGCCACCATATGGGTGCTGGGAACTGAACCTGGGTCTTCTGTAAGAGCAGTCAGTGCTCTTAAGTGCTGAACCATCTCTCTATCCCCCCCACCCTCCCTTTTTTTTTGATACGATGCCCTGCCTGGCCTGTCACTCATATGTCTCCCAAGCTGGCCTCTAACTCAAGGCAATCCTCTTGCTTCAGCCTCCAGGGCGAAGCAGCTTTTTAGTTCATGCTGTTCATTACTTACTTCCAAAAATTGGACCTGTCTTCCACATGCACATGAAGAAATTTACCCTGTTGCATCGTATCTTGAAGTGCTTTGTTTCAAAGTCAAGGATGTTGTTAGATAACTCTGAGGAAGCTCCAGGGTTTGAGGGCTGCTTCTTAGGAAGAGTAGAGATAACTGTTAGATTAACTGGAAAAAGCTATGTAGGCTTATGTTAAAGAAACGAAATCTTACTGCTAAAACACCATAAACTGTGTAGCATATAGATCATGTATATTTATTACTGAGTCCTGAAAAGCTAGACATTATAAGATTGTGGTGCTCAGGTTCTGGAAAGGCTTTTTGGGAGATGTAGACTGCTGACTTCTTGTTTCATCCTCACATGGAAGCAAAAACGAGCGATGAGCAGGATTCCTGGAACCTATGGATTTTTTCTTCTTTTTAGTTAAAGGTGTTAGTTCTAAGTGGGCTCTGTCCTCATAACTGATCACCTCCTTAAAGACCCCACTTTCTATCCCATCATAACTGGTGTGATTAGATTTCAAGATATGAATTAAGGGATGGAGCACAAACATTCAGACCATTGCATCAGAGATTTGTTTATTTATGACCAATTTTAAAAATTAACATACAAAGTAACAGGTTTCGCTATGGCATTTTCATCATATGTGCACCAGTTTATGTGCAAACTCTCAAGGACAGTTGTTATTCAATCCTGAAAACTATTCTGAATGAAAGTCACATACTAAAATATTGCTGATTAAAAAACAATTATTTGTGTGTATGTGTGTTTGTTGGGCATATGCACACCATATCATGCATGTAGAGGTCAGAGAATAGCTTTTGGGTGTCTGTTCTCTCTTCCACCATCTGGGTCCTGGGAATTGCATTTAGGTCATCAGACTTGGTGACAAGTATCTTTACTCCCTGAGCCATTTTTCTGGCCCATGTATTTATTATTATTACTACTACTATATTATTATTATTATTATTATTATTATTATTATTATTGTCTTTTTGAGACAGGGTCTCCCTCTAGTCCCACTTGGCCTAGAACTCACTATGTAGACCAAGCTGGTTTCGATCTGGCAGAGATCCACCTGCCTCTGCCTCCCGAGTGTTGAGATTAAAGGCATGCACCATCACGCCTAGTTGGCCCATATATTGATCTTGAGGACTCAGAAAGTAATTTGGTCAACATTACACAGGCTTTAAGTCCAGTCTTTGACTCCAGATCCGTGTTGCCTCTGTTGGAAGCCAATGATCTTACTGGCCTCAGCCTTGACCAGGTTTAAACAGTCTGACTAGAAATGGATCCAAGGATAGAGAAAGAGAAAGATAGACTTAGAAGAAGCTTAAAAGTATTTGTTGTTAAGGGGGAAAATAGAAGAAAGAAAGGGGCATCTACTTTGGATATGGCCTTGATGTGAAGTGTTCTGGGGAAGGTGGGATGCCACTGCCGCATCCCTCCATAGTGCTCAAAGGGATCTGAAGCTACCTGCTATTCTGTAATATAAAAGCCAATTATGGTTGGGGATGGGTAGCACAGATGAGCTCATGTCTTTTCTGGGAGAAAGCAAAAGAAGGAAGAGGGCAAGGGTAGGAATTTGGAACAAGTAAATTATGAAAAAAATATGATTTTCATGTGCTTAAACTTGGTGTCATAGAATCCCTAGGATGGTTAAATATTTTCTGGTACCTCTAAACTTGATGCCTCTACCTAAATAACCCCATGTACTCCTCCTCTTAGATACTAGCTCCCATGTACCTAGGATTCTGCTCATCAGCCCACTCTATTGTAAACCCCTCTCCCACTGCTTCTTCCACAATATGTATTGGTTTGGGGCAGTCTGGGATAATGGCTGTTTGCTTCCCATATAGATCTCTCTGTATTGCTAAAAGGATGGAGGGAATTGGAATGTTTCTTGGGCATCTATCCTCTGAATAAAGCACCCAGGCTGGAGTGCAGCAAGGTCTATGACTTTGCAGCTCCTTTTGTGAGTCACTGTGTACTCTGAGCACCCGCCCACTGGAGGCAGCGTTCACTAGCTTAGCTTGTGGGGAACTGTTAGAACCAGTCTAGGGACTGAGGCTTTCTCAGTGGCCTTGTCAGCTCAGAGCAGAAGTGAACAGCTTTGAGTTGAGGAAATTGTGGCCGGACAGGAAGGGAGGCAGTTCTGCTCCACCGCGCTGTCCTACTCTCTGGTGGCTGCTGAGCCTGTTAATATCTGAGCTCTTTAAGGGGAGAGGTGCTCATTGGCTCCCTCTGTCCTGTGGGGATGTTGAGCCAAGCTGTCCCGCTTGTACTCTTCCTGCTCTTCAAGGGGCATCAGGGCCAAGGTAAGGAGCCCAAGGGCTGGTGTGGAGTGTGGGCTGGCATAGACTCAGGGGTGTGTGTATCTGGGAGATCAGAACTCGGAGCCTCTGATCATGCCATCTATGTGGTCACCTGGAACCTAGGGAGTAAGAGGAGAGATGGTTCAGGTCCAACAGGCCACAGTAAAACCCATGGCCTTTACTCTATGTGAAGTTCAAAGCCTTTGGCAGACTCAGACAGCTGGAGTGATGTGTGCTCTGGGGCTTTACATCCACAGCTCTCTCTCCGTGGAGGCAGCTCCATCCCTGACCATGGGCTTATCCCTTCACTCTTTCATGATTTTGCTTAAATACTACCTTCCCAAAGATGCCTTCCATACTGAGAATGCCAGCTCATCATTTTGCAACCCCTTATCTTTCACTCCACTTAGTTTTTCTCCAAATTTCTCATTTCCATTTTACACATTACATTGCTTACTTATTTACTTTATTTTCTGTCTTGCAGCATCCTTTTTAGCTGGCTAGAATGTAAGGTCCTAGTGACCAGAGTTTTCATCTGTTTGCTTTGCTGCTGTATCCTCAGCATCCAGAACAATTTCTGGCACAAGGAGTCTGTCAATATTTAGTCCATGCCCACATCCTCCTCTCTGTTCCCATTCACTTCCTGAATCTGTTTTGAGCAGCTTTTTACCAGACCCTGTGCTAGACACTGAGGATAACTGGTGAATGAGTCCAAGGTGCTTTACTTGTGGGGCCTACCTCCATGAGCACTGGTCTGGTAGAGTAGGTACCCAAAGTATGTTTGTTGAGTGAATAAATAAATTATTTTCAGGCATTATAGAGCTAGACTAGAAGACATTTGGGTCAGATATGTAAGATCAACAGTGTATACCTCGGCCTAAAGTTCATTTGAGGTCCCGAATTCAAATTTGGTTGTCCATTCTGAGGAAAAGAGCAGCCTGGGAATTGTGAGTCCCTTGGTGCTTTGGAGCATGGGTGAGACACGGTGGAAAAACTGGGACAAGTGTCTGAGTGGTTAGCTCGGAGTTCCTTTACATGGATTGTGTTGTCCTTTACATGGACTTTTACATGGAAAAATCACTTCTCAGGGAGTGACTTTTAGTTGTGACTGCTCTGAAGGGCTCCAGGGAGTCATTTTCACTCTTCTGTTTTTCATCACACTTCCTCCCAAACAAGATGTGAGTAGAGAAGCAATTGGGTACGAGACATTTGGGCCCAGAGGACCCAAAGGGAATCCACTCCAGGGGTAGCCAGATGATCATCTTATTAAAGTGTGACACATGTGCAGAAAAGTGCACATGGGTATAGTGTACATTATCAGTGAGTTATTGTTGGAACTCCCACATGTTCACTCCCAATCATTACCTACTTCCTCTTTCACAAATATAACCAGCATTGTAACTCCTAACCCATATGTTAGTTTTCTAGATGTAAACAGAATCCTATGGGTTTCTGGCTTCTTTTGCTTAATATCTTAAGAGGTTTAGGCATGTTATTTCCTGTAACGGAACATTCCCATGGCTGTACTTCGTTGCACGCCTATTCCATAATTTATTCTATTATGAATGAACATTTGGGTCTTTGGTATTATCATAATTCTGCCATGAGCCTTTGTACCAGACAACAGTACATTTCCAAGATGGAATCATGGGTTACATGCATGTATTTGTAGCAGGTGCTTTCAAACTGTTTTTCTGAAGTAGTTGGGAGTTCCATGCTTCAAGGTAACTGGCTTTTGTTCTTTGGGTCTGTGAATAGGAAATGAAATTGCAGTGATGTACAGCCTGCAAGGTGAGAGGCCAAAGCCAAGGGGCCCACACCTCTGTGTTTTCTCTGATATTCTGCACAAATCCCTACAGTAGAGCCACTTTGGGAACTAAAGGAAAGGCATTCTTGAATTAGCCAGATTCATTAAGCTATACTATGTTTTGAGAACTATGCAAGATTTTGTGTGGAAACGGATGAAATTGATATTGACTTCTTTTTTAAGATAGGGTCTCATGGGCTGGAGAGATGGTTCAGAGGTTAAGAGTACTTGACTGCTCTTGCAGAGGACCTGGGTTTGATTCCCAGTACAACATGGCAGCTAACAACCATCCATAACCCAGTTTCAGGGAATCCGACGCCTTCTTCTGACCTCTGTGGGCATTGCATGGCACAGGTGCACTTATACACATACAGGCAATACACTCATATACATAGAATAAAAATAATAAATAAAATATTAAAAACAGATAAGGCCTCAAGGCAAGTACCCTACCAACTGAGCTACATCTCCAGCCCTCAGCTGCTGCTTTTATCCATAAGAATCTTTCAGACAGAAAAATAGGTGTGTACAATAACAACAAAGGAAGGTAGAAAATGATGTGACAGGCAAGGTAAATTTAAAGGGATCTGAGAAGACAGTGGTTTCTTTGAGATAGGAATACAAGGGAACTGGCCTAGATGCTCAGAGTTCAGCAAACAGGGATAAAGTAAAACAATCTAGGCAGAGGAAACAGCCTAAACAAAAGCAAGAACACCCAGAATTTGAGTGAGAGGCATTGAAGGCAAAACATAGATGTCTTAGAGGAAGGTAGATGATTCAGTGAACTGGAAGAAAGTGGATCATGGCTGGGTCAATTTTATTTGTTTTGTTTTTTGAGACAGGTCAAAAGGCTCATGGCAGAATTATGATAATACCAAAAATCTAAATGCAAGGTCTTCCTGTAGCCCCAGCTGGCCTAGAACTCATTATGTAGACCAGGCTGGCCTCTGCCTCCCCAGTTAGGATTAAAGGCCAGCACCACCATCCTGGCAGGCTAGGTCAGTTTTGATAGAGGGCAGGGCATTGGCTTGTGTGAGGAGAGGAGCTGCAGTGGTCACCATGGAGCTAAGTTGAGAGGAAGAAGGAAGTAGGTTGTGAGTCTTGAAGGATACTTCATTATTTTGTGAGTTTGCTTTGACTCCTGTTGGTCCTGCCCTGCCCCTTTGGGAAGCTCACTGGGCTCTTCTCACTGTTTGCAGCGTTGTTGTCTTTCCCCTAAGCTCAAGCTGAGAAAAACCTCAACATCCTTTTGTTGGCTAGTGGAAACAAACTGTCCCTGAAACTTTTCCCTGGTCCTTTTTCCAGGGGCTCAGGCCTCCCGGCTTCTGGTGATCCAAGGGGAGGTGGCTCAGCTGACCCTGATCCCTGCAGGGTGGGAAGACAGCAGCCTCTGCTGGTGAGCGTGGGTGGCTTCCCGCTGAATCAGATGGTCCCCTTCACCATTCTTTGCGTTTTCCGCTCACTGTTTTCCCAGCCTGCAGTGGGGTTCATTAGCTGTCCCCTGCCCTTCTGCAGAGTGTTTTACCTCATCCGTTCTTAAGCACCGGAAAAGAGCCCCCAAGGCTTTGTGCAGCAGCCGTGGCTGTGGCCACCCCTGACCACCGGAACCCACTGTGGCCTCAACCTTATGAGCTGATACTCATGTGCCTGTTCTTCATCTCCATCTCTCATTTTCTCACGGTAAGCGTAAGCGTGTGGAGAACTTGTGTTGAAGCCCCCCTCCCTTCCTCCCTCTTTCTTCCTTTCCCCTCCTCCTCTTCTTTCTCCCTTTCCCGCTCTCATAATCTTTTCATATTGACATTTCCTGTTTCCTCCCTTGGCATTCATGTCTCTCTGGGACAGAGACTGAGGTCTTTTTCTATCCATCACAATTCTTGTCTTTCCATTGTACCCACCAACCCTAGTGGGGAGCATCCTCCTGCCCATCCAGGAAGTGCAAGCCAATTGCCTCTCTCCTTCTTTCACTGGATTATGAAGGGCTGTGGAGAAAATTTAACAGACTGTATACAGATTCGCAGCCTCTGAGCTCAGCTGGCCCTTAGAGTACTGGGAATTCTTGTTTTTGGTCCACAGTTTCTTCATTTCCTGGAAGGTGATCATTTCTGAACAGTTACCATCTCTTCAAGGCTGTGGCTCACCATCACAGCTGCTGACAGCTGACCATCTCCTTTTTATCAGAAAATGGAGGCACAGTTAGGAATTCTTCCAATCCTGCCCACAGTACCCCAGAGCCAACGACCTCATCTGCTACTGCAAACAGCCACATGGAGGGCACAGCCGCTCTCACTGTTCTGTTTCTGGCCTGTGCTAACTTTCTACCCTTAGTTCATTTTCCTTTCATTTGAAAAACCAAGCCAATAAAATATAATGGCACCTGTGGATCCGCCTAAGTCCCCCCACCTCCCCGCTTTTTAGACAGGGTGTCATTTACCTAGGCTGACCTCAAACTTGCTGTGTATCAGAGGTTGATCTTGAACGCCCCCCCTGCTTTTTAGACAATTTACCTAGGCTGACCTCAAACTTGCTGTGTATCAGAGGTTGATCTTGAACCTCTGATCCTCCTGCTTCCATTGTCCAAGTACTGGGATTATTGATGCATGTCATCATGCCCAGGTAATGTGATGCTGAGAACCAAACCCAGGGCTTCACGCATGCCAGACACTTTACCAATTAAGCTCTAGCCTCAGCCCCCTAGCACCTCCTTTTTAAAATAGGAAAATTTAAATTACATTTTTTATTTCTTTTTTTGGGAGAGAGTATGTGCATATGGGTGGGGGAATATGCATGTGCCATGGTCCTTGAGTTGAAGTCAGAGGACAACTTTTGAAGAGTTGGTTTCCTCCTTCCACCATGTGGGTCCAAGGGGATTGAGCTCAGGTTGTGAGGTTTGGCAGCAGGGGTCTGTACCCACTGAGCCATCTTGCCAGTCCCCTTAATTCTTCTTTTACTTATTATACAAAAAACATCTTATGTATAAACCAATTTAAAATTACATAAAAATAAAATATAGAATATAATTTAAAAATTGATCCCCACTAAAGTAAATCTTTAGTAAGGACTGTAGATCAATTTTCAAATATTAAGTATAATCCATTTTCTATATAA